CAGTTAAAGGCTGTTCCGGGTTTTTACTACCTTAGAGCATATCTGTCCTTTCAAAGACCACAAATGATTTTAATTTGATGATGCCTTTTTTAGTTCTGGTTAGATGTTAGATTTGTTGTTCTATAATTCTTTCCACGGAAGGATCATCTGATCAGTACTGAAGTGGTAGTCACAGAGGTAATAGCTGTTGTGGTCATTGAGGAGAACACTTCACCACGGGTGAAGAGCGCGAACTAGCCTGAGACGACAAGTTGAAACAGGGTAATTACAAAGTACTCCTGTCAGAGATAAAGAAAAGCATTAGCGGAGTGTGGGTAGTACCAGTATGCCTCAGACTTGGCAATTATTTGGTTTAAAGGGCTTTGCATAGGCATGGCACATGCCTTAAAATGGCAAGGTCAAGTTATTTGTGGCGACGGACTTCTTCCTGTCATTTTGTCCTCTATGATTCAGTAGCAAAAGAAGGGAGCAGCTTCGGTTTACAAGGCATGCACACAAAATCAGTCGTGTAGGTGTGCTTAGGGTCATGGAGATCACAAAACCTATAAATTAAAATGTAAATTGGATTTGTACTGACGACATCCGAGGCAGTGGAAGGTGATGCGACGGTGAGAGAGTGTCAAGATGCACAGGTACAGTACGTTTGCATTATATTAGCATCTGTTGGAGAGGCGATAAAATGACGCCCGACTCCGGAGTACACTCGAAACACAAAGTATGGCACCTCACCGATTCATTGAGTGCGCTGAAGTTAGCCCTATGGAGGATTGACAGCTTAAGTTGTAGATTCATGTCAACAGGTTTAGGTCAATGTGAAATAAAGAAGGAGTCAGTCTTTCATCGTCCTCCTGATGCATACTGAACCATCTTAGAAGAATGAAGTGGATTATCAACTCTTCCATGGAGCCAAGCGATCAACGCCCCATCGTCTATATTTCCTTTTGATTAATTTGTGTATAGTTTACTACAGTGGCTCATTTACGGTACATTGTAGGCACAAATCACTGTGATTGTAAATGCCAAATCAGTAGATGCATGCAGATTCCTCGAGCATGGCAAGACGACATCAGGCCACTTCATACGAGTGCACTTCCATCTCCCACTTGGAGAATTTAATTAGCCAAACATGCCACATGTGATTTGCGGACTAAAGTTTTGGACTTGCTGTTGAATTTTATTAGCTGTAAAGCCTTGCAATCCACGGCTTGATTCAACAAAAATCCTTTGTTAATCCTTCCCAACACCTTCAAGAAAGACGTAGAAATGTGTTCTGCATTAAAGAGACCATCAGAGCATGTCACCGAAGAGCCAAGCTCATATACTTCAAAGCGCATAGAATTGAAGACTGAACGTCGGTACGTTCCTATCCGCCTCAATTGTTGCCACAGCTCAAACGCACCACCACAGTTTACACAACAGAACCGCTCAAGTGGTGACTACTGCTTGAGGCAATTGACCTTTGACCAAAAGCAGTCGACACAACTTCAGGGTTAGTGTTTCAAGCGCAGCCAATGAGGTTGTAACTCGTTGTGGTGCAACCACTTACCATAAAGTAGGCAAGGCGATGTGTCGCATATACGCGACGCTGGCGGAGAATATGCTAATTTACATACCAAATTACTGTTATTGAAGGATTTTTAATTTTCGTGGAAACTTTTGGTTTTCAAAATGTAAACCTACTCTAGGTAACGAAATATTCCTTCGAAACTGGAAAATTGCCTTGGCTTAAAGCTGTGATGGCATTTTAGACCAAAAAGCCGAGTTTTCCAATCTACCTGTCGCCATGGACGACTTAGCTTGGCGCATCGTATTGTTAAAATAAATGCCTGGATAACGCAACACAATTTGCACTACTAAATTCTGCGATTACAACCTCTACTCACTGTTGTTTTCGGTCGCCCGAGTGCGAAAATGGGCTCCACAAATTGTGTAAGAAAGTGCTTCTTTCTGGGTGGATAAACTGCGCCTAAAAGGTATTCAAGAGCACTTATGTTGAAGAGGTTGTGTAGACTCTTGCCATCACTCAATCTTTGTGGTTTATTTGTGTCACCGTGTGTAAAAATGCAAGTCTTAAGTATATCATTTAAAAGTAAAAGCATGCTCAAAAAAGATTTTGGTAGATGTTCTCAGGCAAGCATTCACATCGACGCTGAGACGAGGTTTTTGATCATGCTAGGAACGCCCTGCGCCTATCAACCAAAAGGACAATAAACCTTCATTAAATTGTTGCTGCTTCGGATAAATAATATGACAGCTAGAAGTGTGCTAACACCTATTTGAGTGGCTTTATTTTCCACCATTTAGCGATGTGCTCGGAATAGAATATTTTGACACTTTTGAATGACAATGGATAAACAGCATGGATTCACCGGGCCGTTCAATGACAATTGAATTGTTACAGAGTCAGAGCTTTTTCGTAAGTCTAAACAATCTAAATTGATGCGGAAGAATATAAGGCTTACAAACGGTTAGAAGAGGCGAACTGGAACGCTGGCTGGACCGACACTGCAACCAGCGGATGCCCAAACGCTGACAATACCAAAAATCAAATTCTAAGGAAGTACTTTCGAATGATTTGCTAGAAAAACATGATTATTATGAACACGGAAAAATTTCCCTTTTGGAAGCATTGTCGTATAGAAACAACCTCAGCTTGAACGAACAGTGCCCAAAATCCAAATGAAAGTGCTGACAAGCTGATTTGCTTCAAGCTATCGAAAAGTGGATTTCTATCCATAGAATAAGGAATTCCCCAATAATACGCTTCACTATGCTACGCGCTCGCCATGGAGAATGCCAATTACAGAATGCCATTATGCAAATTGATTGAGAGAAATAAGCATTGGGCTAATGCGCAGATTTCTTTTACCAAAGCGGTATATGTGTGTAGGATAATTATGACAAGTCTTCAGTGTTTTGGAGTGCAAACGGTCCTAGGTAAAATCGCGCCTCTGCTCGTGACTCATGATAATTCGAAGTTGGCATAGCAATGACTTTAATAATGTGATTAGATAGTGTCTGCCTAAACCGAAGTTTTGGTGGCAGGTCCCACAGGCTTTTAGCATTTTGCCTTCACCTGTACGCCACTCTTCACTATAATACGTTTTTGGCTTAACTATCAGCTTCCATTGGGGCCAAAGGGGTGACCACTTTGACTCTCCTGGATGAGCCAAAGTCCAGACCTTGTCAAATGTACCCATCTCCCCCCAATTGGCTGAATCTGTTTCAACTCACGTGCACTGCCTTCCACTATCCATAATTAAGTCTCAATATAGTACAACTTTTATTGTATAGTCGAAGTAAACATTAAAATTCCTCCGATGCTACGCATTCATTCATGTTCTACGAGGGCCCAACAAGCTCCAACTGACTCACATTTTGGTGGCATATCAACAAAGCAGCGTAAGTGCAATGCTTCCATCACGTAATTACTTGGTCCGTGCCAAGGATTATCTTTATCATATGTTATAGAACAAGAGGTTTATAGTTTAACCAAATTTAATCGTGATATTCTAAAGAGAGACTTGCGATTAACTTCAAATAAAAACGATTTATTAAAAAACATGCTACTTATGTATTTGACTAAATTGAAAAAATCTGCTAACATTATTTTAATAGATGCCAAATTTTTAACATTTTGCGTCCAAACATTAATTATGCACTTACCGTTCTCCTAACTAACTCTTATTCTTTTATACAAATGTGATAAAATGCTTATTAAGTGTTTAGGCAACTGCAAAATTCTATGCTATTTATACTCTCAGAGGTCATGAGCCTAATAAAAGGGCTCCGCGCCAAATGCGCAGGCCGAATGTGACGCGTTCGGTCCGGAATGGTCATCAAGACATTTCGGGAGCGTAATCTTTGATCGTGGCATGTCCGCCATCGCGGGACGGCCTTTGGCGTGTTATTCCGGAGTAACTAGCGAGCGGAGGTCGGCGGTGTTGGTGGTTCCATCGGACCTCCATACCTGGTTGCCAGACGGTTGGTGCTTCAGATTGTGGGCGTTCTTAGTGGTTATCGGAAGTAGCGCGAGAGATTTGGGTCATAACTACTAACGCGTGTCTAGGTGTTAGTCATAAACGAGGAAGTAGAGGAGAAGAGGGTGAAAATAATGTCTGAGTAGCTAATCTCCAGTAGCCATTAGAAAACTGTTCCAACTATCTGGCTTAAAAGACTAACCCAAATTCAAGCGAATTTTCGGCAATTAAATAGGACAGGTAGAAATTGTATCAGCAGACATCGCACAGCGAGGACAAACTAGATAACCTGGTCCCTGTGACTAAAACATGGATGTCGAGCATTTAGAAAGTGTTCGACGTATGCTCAACCTGTTAAAACCCTTGCTCAAATCGCATTTGCGCAGGCTAGCATCGCCATTCTCTCAACTCAGTCATTGTAAACATTTTCAAAACACAATTTAAAAAAACATTTTAATAAATTTTGTGACCTAAAGTTAGCACAAAATTGTTAGGCTTTAAAAGTACTTTTAAGTTAATTATTTTGTTCGTTTGGTTTAATTAATCAGATCAGCCGTTTGAAATTGGGCGCGGTGTATGCTAGTCTTTCGCTTTTCTTGTTCGTCGTAGGGTGCGTGCCGTCTTGAATCACTGTAGACGTCGACATATTTCTGGATTTGTGTAAGGCAGCATCTTTTGAATTTACTTATTTCAATGAAGTGGTGGAATTATCTGATTTTCCTCTTATTCGTCTCCGTGTGTGACGTTTGCGCACACGATGGGCTTTTTTTAAGTCTAGGAAGAGATGATATTCAGACCTTACTACGGCTATGTATCCTGCGTTGTCAGTTATATGATAGAGCAAAGACGCAAGTTGGTACTTTTTGCAGGCATGGGCATTCATAATCCAACGAACTCCATGTCTAGTGTCTTGCTGTTTGGTCCGTATGCACGCCCATATGATTTTAGAGGCATGTACATATCTCTCCTTGCTTAATACGATTTCTGTGTTTCTGAGGTTGGTGATGTCTGTTTTAGACAATGTCGGATTTTGAGGAAAACCCCGACGAATTTATCGTTGAGAAGGTTCTTCGGGTTAGAATTCGTAACGGAAAAAAGGAGTATTTTCTTAAATGGAAGGGTTATCCTGATTCTGAGAATACTTGGGAGCCTGAGGAAAATCTGGATTGTCCAGATCTGATCAAGCAGTTCGAGGAGAATGCCAAGAAACTCGCGAAAACACGACCCGCTGGAAGACCATCCAGCATTGCATCTAGTGATAATGGTAGTGTTAGAGATGCGGAGGTTCCGAAAACCGACTCTGTGCCATCCTCTGAGCCGGACACCTCCAAATCTGGCGATCCGGCTTCAAAGAAGCGTGGCAGGAAACGCCGAACCCCCACTTCACAGGAGTCGGATGCGAACAAAACCGGTGACGAGCACGAGGAAGAGGATGAGGGTGAGGATGAAGAAGATGGGGAAGGCGGCTCTCCAGCTAAAGTAGGTCTTGCTCGCTCATTTTGGTTCTCATCGACACTGGCTTACTGAAATTTGCCCTTAACAGCGTCAGGTACTGTCAGAACTACCCTCAGTTGGTGGAAAAGTTCGTGGTTTTGAACGCAACCTTAAAGTGGAACGCATTATTGGGGCCACAGAGTCTTCGGGGGAGCTTATGTTCTTAATTAAATGGTGAGGCTTTTTATGCTATTTGTCTACTTGAATTTGTGAGTAACAGTGCTTTATGTCCGTCACTTCTCCCTACAGGCAAGGGATTGATATTGCAGATCTCGTTCCAGCCAAAGAGGCCAATGTTAAGTGTCCTCAAGCGGTCATCAAGTTCTATGAAGAACGGTTAACCTGGCACACTCCTGACTCCCAATCGTCTCCAGCCAGAACATAGCTCTTCGTCCTTACATATTGCCGTTTTGTCCTTATTTTAAGCATTTAAGACATAGATTAACTCTCTCCCTTTTCCTGTAAGTAAGCTTCCACCATCCGTATGTATTGGCCACTAAATGGCATTCGATGTGTTTTGATACCGCCACTAATAAGAAGGACATACTATCCATGAGGATATGTAATATAAGTGTAATTCTGTCTCTTACTAACTTCAGGATTTCCTTCGGTTTTGGTATCTGGCTTCAGAAATAACAAAATAGTTTGAATTTTTGTATTTGAGGCGTATGGTATTCAGTTTACATTTCAGTATGAGTCTAGATAGTTCTTAGGCCTGAGTGGTTTGAGGGTGGTGGTTTCGTCGGCTTTGACGCCTGCCTCCGTGTTAATGTCTACCGGGATGAGCTGCCGTAGCTACTTCCCGTGGAGTCCGAGAGTCCAGAAAATGAGCTGCTTTCCGTCGGTGCGGTTAATCGCGTGGTGGATAAGCGAGTCGGTAAGATTAGCTTTAGGAGTAGATATTAAAGTAGTTTATAAAGTCAGAGAGACCGATTCAAGTTAACTCAGTTGTACGGGTCATAGAGGCTGTATTCGGTCGGTTGGTTTAATCATCCCACATTTTACTTTTGCTATACAATTCTAGCTAGGCTGAGGATGGTGACCTGCCCTGTTGGGGCCTTAACAGTCGATAAAAGCGATCAATTCTCCTTTTCATTTAGCTATACAAAGGGAGCGGGAAACCTTTGAACACCTTTTACAAATGAGGGAAAGTGAACGACAAACCAATTATCCACGCGATTTTGTTCATGAGAATGGCAGTGGATCTCAGCATTTGCTAGGTGTTAGGCAAAAGTGATGAACAATTTCACCTGGTGACAGGAACTCGGCTTTAACTGATAGAATTGGCTAACCTTGGTCCCGTCGTGCTCAGAGAATGTATTTATAATTTGGAAGATGCGATGATGGTTCTCGTATTGAACAATGTCCCTCAAAGTAGCGTGATGAACGGTGATAAGATAGACACGGTAGTAGAACTTCATCAAAGACATCTTGAAAAAGACTTGGTATATTGTTGAGAAAAGAGTCTACAAAGGAGACAAAACTTCCCTCAATGCAAAGAGAGAACGAAAGTAGGTTGTTACGCTGACTGGATAATGAGTCTATTGGGTGCTAATACACATTTCGCATAACTGTTTATTTGTAAGGTAATCCTCAAAAGGGTTCTGCCATTGACACATTTAAAGTCCGATATGCACTACTGCGATGTAGCAGGTAGTTGTAATTTTTGAACTTCAGACCGAAGAGGACATCACACAGATGCCAAAAAGGAATGAGTTTTGTGAATTCCCCACTTCCAGGCAGGGACAAACTGAGAAGAGAGGTCTGACGAAAGCAGAATCGTTTTATGAGATAAAAATAATTTAAACAAGGACAAAGGACACGAATATGCAAATGCTCTGCAATCCCAATTAGGGGTGATCAAAGCGGTTTCAGTCAAAAGCTGTGCAAAAATCAGAAGCTAGTGGTCAGAACATGTAAAAGCCTGCAAGATGGTTAACCTTTCCGAATTTCTACTTCTCATGTCGTTATCCGAATGTCTAGATGCATAAATAATACATCATAGAATACAAGAGAAGAATACCATAAGGGTACGGTTGACGGTGTGTTGGAAGATGAAGGTAGCCTGCTCATTGTCTGCGCCGGTCCAATAGTTTGCCATCATAATGATGCCGAAAATGACGTCAAAAATATCACCCAATGTGTAAATCATGCAGCCGATGCACTCATCAAAGTAGCGATGATAGCGCATACGCAAGTAGTGAGTGAAGATGAAGAGGTTGACTAGGACTACCACTATTTTGACGGTAATTATGAAGTTGGTCGGGTCCAGAGGCATACAACTGAAGGACATAACAAATTTTCATTCTGACTTTACCGTAACTGTATAAAGGCATCATCTCGGTGGCATCCTAATCGAAGGCTTTTAAATCAATTATTTATCCAGATAAGTGGTTTTTATGACCTCCCAAACTTTGGCTCCCACATTGGTGTTACAATTTCTTCGATAGTGAGAATATCAGAGCAGAACTGGTCGACACAACCACGCTTGTTGAGTTGAGTATAATGGTGGTGTTGACAAGTTCCTTCCAGATAAATATCAGATGCCAGTTTATTGACTGGATGCTACGCTCTAGAAAGCCTTGGAAAAGGAACAGATGCTGAAGTCTGCTCTTCATAATGTATGCACATAGAGATCGACCGCCTGGCTTAGACCCTCGTTTATCTTGCCGTAATGCTGAACGAGCCTGATTAATGCACTTTAGACATGTCTTCTACTCACATCAGGTTTATTCGGAGGATATCATGCAGTGAACACAAACTGTCTGCTCCTAATATTTTCGATGGGGACAGACGCAGCTTGTCCAATGGTTCTCTCTATGCACACCGGTAATTACTTACCACTTTAGCCGACAGACTGGTTGACATATTTTATAAATCGGACAATACGTCTCAATACTCATGATAACGGGACTTACATGTGATTGAGGAAGTGATTACCATAGTATTGCAGGACTGCTTGAACAGTGACGCAGACGACTAGGAGAGAGAGTTTAGGGGAGTCTGTAAAGGGTTCAGAGCGAATAACTAACTTAACAGACGCGAAATAACTTACTGGCACAAATTATGGCTAAATTCCAGAGCATGCGGCCCAATTGGTTAGTCTTTCCTGTGAGGACAACTGCTAGCCAATAGGGAATGGAGAGCACCGTCTGCATATAACTCCACGCCAGGAGGATGGGTCCCTTCGACTAAGAACAATCAAAGGACGGGAGTGGAAAGAGATTGCCATAGAGGAGATATTCGCCGACTCGGATGAAAAATACAAAAGGGTCTCCTGAAAGCACCATTTTTTTAGAGCATAGTGTTCCTCTCAATTCTCACAGATTGAAAGGACATTACATTGAATTAAGCTGTGAGACAGTTGTCCAAACACCTTACTGCTTGAAGTAACTTTGTCCATCGCAGTAAGAGCTTGCAAACTTCAATTCTATAAATGTCTTTGACATCCGAAACATTAAATCTCCTGTTCATTCGGAATTCATCTTCTATGTGCCTACCTTCTACCCGGCAAATACCAAGAAACGCGGAAAGCCATCATTTAGCGAAGTACAAGATGTTGTTTTAAAGGGAATGCACCACCACAATCCCAGTTGTCAGTAGACAATTTGTAAGAACAGCCGCTGAACTCATGGAATCGTCTACAGTCGTCTACTACAATCAAAATTCCTTAGCCTCAGCAAATAAGGCTGACAATTAAGCAGCATCAAGAAATTGCAACGAGCCTTATCGAAATCAGTGACACCCATTGTAACTCCATCAAACTGTGATACACGTGGGTTGAATATCCCAACTGATTCTAGCGAGCTGTCAGGAAGACTCAAAAGAGAGATGCAGGTAGTAGTCCTCTATACTCCCATACTATTACGAACCCTGTGAGGAGGCTTTCAAATAGATGAAAGTTTTAAGGTGGATTCTACTTTCCTGCTATGACCGACTTTAGTGAAGATACGGCGATTAACTGATTCTTTAGAGGAAGTCAGGAAAGAAGTTAGATGACGTTGACTAGTAAGAAAGCAAGCGAGATGTTGTCTTTGAGGACATAACTTTTTACAATTGAAAGTAGGCATTGTGCTAATTTTTAACCTGAGACGTTGTGTACTTTATACGTTTCAAGTGCCTCGAGAAGCACAGCGAATTGCTTCCTCCACTTACTTTGAGCAAGAGGGCAATTCCACTGGATTACTTGTAACGGTGGTTTAGTTTTAAAGGCTGACCAAGGGGAGGGAAAGCACAATCGTAGCTCTCTTCTGTTTGCATGACACCTATCCCCATTGCAGTGACGTTCACATGCACCCACGTTTATGGACGGTGAGGCATCAATTTTGCAGCACACTATGGGTGGCTTTTCCTTCCTTCCTTTTTCCTTCCTTCTCGTTTGAGACAAATACCCAGACTGTGAGAGCACACCTGACGCAGGATGTAGGTGCAGTACAGGTTGACCACATCCATTTACTCATTTTAGCACAAAGAAGGTGTTTTAAGTAGTGCCACTTACCAGGCAGAAATGCGCATTTTGACACTGGTCCAGGCAGGCTGAGAGGCAGTCGATGAACATGAGGTTAACCAGTAGATGCACAATTCCAAAATTTCGAAAATCCGGATAAAATCTTAGGAAAGATGATTGAGATAAAGTTGTGATGCAAATTAAGTTGGCGAATGGGACTGATTTCCTTACCTGTTTTGGTGGTATTTGTACACCTGAGAGAAGAATTTTGACCTAAAATTTATCGAAAGAGATAACTAGCTCAGGAGAAAAGGAAGGTGTCAAGCACTCTACCAAGGCCAGAAATAAGCCTAGAAAGAGAATCTCTAGACAGAACGGTGGCGTATCATTGCTAGTGGAAGTCAAGCAATTTAACAGGCAATTGAGACACGTGCAAAGAAGCCTCTCGTGTGCTTTGCTCTTTTTGTGAAAAAGTTTTGGGTTCTTGAGAGCTTAGTAGACAAGTTCCATTTCATTTGGTTCACAGCCTTCGAGCATTCCAAGGAAAAAGAAGAGAGATGATGGGAGACCATTTGCGTACAAGAAAACCATTCCACAGTAAGACCCAAAATGAGCAACAATTTGGCTGCAAAAAATCCCTCCTTAATCAGGAATTTAATGATCTGAGCCAAGAGGACAAGAAGTAAAACAACTACGAAGTTTCAAACGCATCAACATCTACCTCTCCATAAGATCTTTAGAAGCTATCACTCGAATGGCTCGATACAACCCATGAAGCATTGTGCGACCACCTTCATAGTGGTATAAAATTTTGCTGATGCCCACCGGAAACGTTTGCCCTTACTGGTCTAGTCCAGCTTGGTCTAGCCGTGTGTTTAACAACCCAAATGGATTACTTGCCGCAGACACTCTGCGCCGTGATCTTCGTACAATGCCGATGACCTCCCGCTTTTGTTAAGCAGTACGCCATTTGGCAAATCTTTGGTTGACCATGACTTCAAGGAGGCAGCAGAACTACATTTTGCAGGTTTCAGCTACATCTTTTGGCTTGTAAAGTGACGACTCTGGAGTTTCGATATTTGTTAAGGCGCAAACGGCACAGTAAGTCCGAAACTTAGTCTCAAATGTGTAAATTGTTTGTCTGTGTAGATTTTCAAAGGCCTTGCAACAAAGAAACTCTATTACCCGCTATAAAAGCATCTAAAACCAAAGTGAGTGGCGGAAGATACGCACGAGGTCACTTACACTGCAATGATGAGCAGCTCCAGGATTCCAATAAGAGCGAATATGCGATTAAAAATGAATGCGAACAGAAGACCTGGGTTGAAACGAATACTTGCCGGGACACTCGTCTTAAGGTTGTCGGAGTTTTTAGTCACCCTGGAGACAAAAAAGAACCCATGGTTCTTACAGCGACAGTGAATTTCTCTCCCAATCAGAACTGTTTCGCAAGCCTGTCTGCTGTATCCGATTTCATTGTTATCATCCATTCTGACAGAAGAACATTCGAGGTCCCGTTGGGGCATGCTCTTGGGAACCCGGAAAACAAGTCTTATCTCAAAGTTCTTTCTAAAGTCTGACTGTAAAGGGGAAGAATAGGAAGTGTCTTGCAAGTTTACCAAAGACCTGAGACTAAAGCTGCCGACAAAACAGAGATGGGAAATAGGGCGGAGGCTGATGACTTGGATGTAAGCATGATGTACTGCTATCGCGTAGCATGTCACGTCCAGCGGTACAGGATTCTCCATTTCTTCCACGTAAAAGGAGACTTTATCGATACTCTGTAGCAAAACAACATTCAGCACCCTGCTATTTGCGTGCTTTAAGGCCATAACATTCAACTTACGCTCAATTTTGCAATGGAAGCCATGCTAGGAGGGTAACGGTAGATAGAGATCAGGTCAGTGAGGTGAGAGTAGAACGTAGCCGCAGTTCCGTTAATTACATGAGCGTTGATGATTTCTGTAAGTTTGTGGATAAGTTTGTAGAGCCTAAATCAGTAAAAGGAAGCCTCTTGAGGAAACTTTTGTCCTACTTAAAAAATAGGCGAACCACGATTTCCTATATTCTTACTCTCACCTCTGCATCAACAATGCCAAAGAAACCTTACCATTGCTCCGAGCTATATCATAGCTTTATTCATATCGCTAAGATGGCTAATCATTTACTTCCCTAATCAAGCATACTTTATGCCGTTCAGAGCATAAAAATGGGCCTTTTGGACAACCGCATTTAGCATGAGTTCGGTCAGCCTCAGAAAACCGGTCAAGAAGAACTGGTTAAAGATGGGATCCAGTTGGAGGCAATGTTTCGACCAACTCTCCAACGTTGAATAAGACTGAGCGAGGAATTTGTAGGGGTCTTTCTCCTCAGTTATTAGGTGCTTCAGTCTTCCGAAAACCAATAAGTAGAGCACCGAGCACTTTACCGGACCTAAAATGTGAATACATGTCTTTTTCACAGCTTTTTCGTGAGTACCTTGTGCACTGATTTATTCAATGATCTTATATACCGGTGGCATGGCGACGCTAAGAGGCTTAATTCATCGGCTCGAAAAATCAACATCAAAACGAGAGACAACTGAATTTTCAGCTCCAAGGTCAAGCATTGGTAAATACCACAAAAGGATTCAAATAACGAAGAAGTAGATCTAAGAAATTTCCAATCACGCCTTTTGGATAGCCACAAGTTAAGGCTTTAGGCCATTGAGACCGCAATTTTCATTCGAAATGTGTTCATTTTGTTTTTATAGTTGCCTGCACATTATCATGCTACTGATTTTTTAATAGTAGAATCGCATTAATTACTTGCGATATTGAAAGATTTATTTTAAATCTGCATTTCTCCGTTGGCGCAATAATCCGGACAGTTTTAGAATTTTAAGCTCGAATTCACACACGGTCTTCCGAGGCTATTTGCCCCTAACTTTGCATAAATAATCGTTAATAAGGTTGAAATTTGATGAACGCACTCCAAGCTCGAAACTTGGTATCCGCGATCGTTGGGTTAATGTGTGTTTTGAAGTTTTGCCTGCAGTACATTCCTTCAAAGTATTCACATCTTTATGAGGTAATTGATGACACAAGAAGTGAACACCTTAATCATGGCATTTTAGAACACGAGCGAAAATTTTGGCCAGTCGTAAGTGAAGCATCGGAGAAAAGTTAGGTCTGAACCAGGAAAGTGTGGGTGACCGGTAAGTGGTATGTGGGTTAACACTAAAGATACAAAGGAAATACTTATTTCTAAGCTGGAGTAGGTTGCCTTAAAAGTAATTAGCATCCTAAGCATCCGCAGAAATTTCTGAGTGGCAAAAATGTGGCAGATGGAAGCACACGATGTAATCGTAGCCTGTGGGTGGAGGAGTTTCCTTCAGGCAAAACGTCAGCTTTAAGCCAATGGGAAATATAGATTAACTGGAGGCTAGTAAAACTGTTCTTTTCAGCCTCAAACGGGAAGAGTTAAGTAACAATACCCTTTTACCCGAAGCACATGTAGGACAATGTTGTTTAGCACTCGGAAGTTTTTGGTGCTTTAGCTAACAATGAAGCTCAAAATAACTACCGTGACACTTTGGACGAACCCGATAAATGGGATGGGCTAGGAAAGCTCTCGCGGCACATCATCTGAAATCTGTGTTTAGAAGGGCACATTTGAAAATGCTACAACAGGTTTGACAAGACATGAAGAAAGCCAACATAACACGAATCGAAAACAACGGCTACGGTTTCGATTAAAATGAGCAAAGCAATTAGGGGAGAAAGAGAGTGGTAGCGGTATTGTGGAAACGAGTACGTTCTTCTCCCAGGCTGTTTGCTAAATGATATGATAAGTAATGGACTTTGCATTACAGCGCTTTTTACACAATCTGTTAAAGTGCCGGTCAAAGGTCACTGATTCCTCCAATTGTTACCGAAAATGGAACCGAGTGGACGAATTTTCAGCTTGATTAAGTTGGTCGTTACCTGGACGAACTTTCTGGTCAAAGCATGGTCAGCGCATTTCTGAAGTCAGCGAATATTAAGCTTAAATGCTCTACCTTTAAGTTGTGTAGTAGTCAGCGCAAAAGCTTTTTCATCGTAGGTTTCGAATTCCTCCATGTAGCAGCCCGACCGCTCATTTTCTCGCCACTCATAGCCACCGTACCTGTTCATTTCACTAGCAGTAAAATCACAAGATGAATTAATCTACGATACATACGAACCATCGTTTCATCCACTCTATGGAAGGAATGATTTGTTATTGATATGATAAACATGATAGAAGGTAAAATAAACGGAGCGAGATTTGAGAATTACTAGTGCTTTGGAGCAGTTTAACAAAGGGAAAGTGAGTGGTACGAACAAGGAATGGTTTCAAGACTTCGGAAATCTATCGGACAACCCATTTACACTTATCGTCAAAACGGACTGAAACTGGAAGAACGCACCACTTGACCTCAAACCTCTGATCTGGACTTAGGAGAGGGTACTTGCAGGCAGCAGAAACCGTAGCGCTGTCCTCTATTGTCTGGATTGACGGCACATGTCTCTTGATGCTATAGAAGGGTGTAATTTGGGTTTTCACAAACGTCTCCTTACAGCCTGAAAAGAGGAAAATGCGAGATTTTGTAGCAGCCTATCTGTGGAGAGTTGTGCAGATGCATTTTTTTTTGTACTCAGTCTTCCACCCTTTAGGTACTTAAATTCTCAAGTTGTGGGCAACTTTGAAATCGGCAAGAGGCTCTTAGCATTCATTTTTGTCCCACCCTAGTGAATAAAACGGAGAAAAGGGGTCAAGGTTCAGCGAAAAAAAAACGCAAAGCTCTGCAGTTCAAAAATGAGATGCCCCATAAAAATGGTACGGATTCGATTCTTCATTCCTCTGTCTTCGTGACGGTTTCTGTGCCCTCGAATTCGAGAGCAATGATTGGCACTACGGAGTAACAAAGAGGATCCCAAAAGGTGAGAATTTTGTCAAGCGGTAAGAGAATTTATAAGTGCAAGAATGAATTCTTGTACAAGACTAACTGTTAGTAAAAGTTGGTGCAAAAATCGTCAATGGCCCAAAATACAAGTGGGGAATTCGATGAAGCTTCATTGGCTCGATTAGAGGCAATGGGAAGCACTTCACCCTTGAAGGAAGCGGAGATCAAATAGCGATCAAAAAATGAACTCAAAAGGGGGTTTAACTATGCAATTTGCATCTTCAGTTTCACGGTAACTGCACACATCAACGACGAAGGATTTGCAATTTCCCTCATTTAATATTTTTACCAAAAACAGTAGCTGATAGTGGGAAGATAAATATTTTTTTAAAAGTTTAAAAGTTTCAAGTCTGCAAACGATTCAAGCATCACTTCAAAGAAGAAGAGAAATCCAAGAGAACTGAGGCTAAACCACTTGGTTCCCTGAGTAGTTCAAGCTGAGAAGGTGAAATTCCATTGCCGTTAGTGAGGGTGACTGAGGTCGGCACTCCGACGGCACTTTCACCGTGAGTTGTGCCGCAAAAACAACTTGGAGAAAGTGCAAGTAGAAACTTAGATTTAATTCTCATCTCAAGTTGTCGCAATTTAATTTTATCCTAGGCCGAGAGTACAGAACAGAAATGTTGGAGAAAACCAACGATAATTTAATACCGTTTATGCCGACTTTATTCCTCAGGCAAGGAAAGTGTTTCTAACAAATCCTCAGATGCAAAAAAATGAGTCAAAACCATTTTTTAAAAGTGCAAAATTGCAGATCCCCAGAAAACGATTCTTCGAGTTGACTAAGACACCATCTCAATCCCCCAAAATATTTGCATTCGAATCTGATTGAAACCCGACTGTCTCGCATGCTGTCTCATGGCAGCGGCAGCAGGGCGGAGACAATTTCGCTTTTGGGTACAGATCAAAGCAACAGTGCATTTATCAAAGGGAAGCGTCAAACAAAGTCCTGCCACCTCAACAAATCGTGCATTCGGCTGTAAACTTACCCCAAGGCGTGCCCCAAGCCTCGGACAGCGCATTCTTTCGCATGTAGAGAAAACTATCATAACAAACTTTATCCTTTTGCATGATATTCACATTCGAGTCCAATGTGAATTCCACCTTACACGTCGTTCCGTTCCATCTGCAAGGGATAACATCAATTTCAGCCTTTACATCTAAAATACACAAATTTAACGCCTAACTAAGCACTTCCATAACAAAGAATTAAACGATGTAGGTTGATAAAAATCAATGGAGTCAAAGAAGCAAATTAAATTTTTGCTATTCGAAACCCACAGATTAGTGGTTTGAAGGAGTGGGTTTGACAGAATGGGGACAAATTAATCATAGGAGAGGTTTACTTAAATCCAGTCATACGGTAGCGCATGCCTCTGGGACAAGAAGTCTTTGCTTTCTAAAGCAGAAGGCGAAAATTTTATTTATTTATTTATTTGAAGATCCTAAAATGAGGTTAAAGGCTAGAAGAGTAGTAAAACGCACCTCAGCGATACCGGAGCCTAAATGCCTTTTGGTCAGCACCCTGGAGAAGTAGCTGGAACAGTCAAACTCTTCCACGACTTGATCATCACAACCGCAGAAGTGCAAAAGCACAATACCCACCGAGAGGACCAGCGCATTCATGCTCCTAGTTGACTGTGTGCGAAGGAAAATCAATATTCTCCAAGGTCATGCGATGTTGAAGGTACAGACACGCGCCACTTATTGATCGGCAACCCACCTTGATGAAGTAATGCGCGGATTCGCTCTACCGTGCAACATCGAAATAGCATTGTTTAAGTTTCTTCTTGAAGAATGTTTGTAGTTTACCTGCATGTTTAAAACACAACTAGACAACAGGACCTTCAGGTCGTGTCGATGACCACGTTCTGCCCAAGCGCTGCTTATTGTTCCCCTCAGAGTTCTTAGAGAGTTACATAACTAATGCTCACAGATGCAAAACCCATGGTTTCGTCAGAACTATTGTTCAGATGTACTCAAGTTCGCCTATTTTGAGTCTAATTTCTTTTATCAATCGAATCTCTGTTAAAACGCTCAAAATCACTCAGAACTACAGTAAAATCCGCGCCCATTGACCGCCTATTCTCCGTGTTTCGGCTAATCCTATGGGTGCCATTGTGGTGACAAAGCCACCTTTCAAAGGTTCCAGATAATAGACGCTTAGACTTAAGTCTTTCCCATTTAAACTTTAATCGGACATTTAAAACACCAAAAAGTGACAACGCTTTCATTTTTTTTAATGCTTAAGAACTAGGAAATACTGCCCGGAATCCAGCATTGCCTAATCAACATGATTGAAGCATCACATCGTAGAGATCGCTGTTACCCTCACCCCAAACGTCTCTGTGAGGGGAGAGAGGGAGGCTATGGATAAAACATACCTAATTCAGATCACGTTCTGCCGACCATAGCTATAGTGGATTCAGCTTCGAGAAATGCTTGATCCAACCAAAATCGGCAATAAAAGGCAGCTCAAAAAACAAAACTTTATGCAAAAAATCTACGTTGCATACTCTTTTGATCGAAAGACCGAAATAAAATGAGAAAGTGAGAAATAACCACTCGCGTCAAGGTAGATGTGCAGATTCTTGAGTAGAAAGACAAATGTAAGGGTAAAATATACAGCTAAAATCATCCACCAAGCCACGAAGGTAGAAGACTGCTCCACGAAGAACCTTCTTCTCCAAGAACAACACCCCCGGAAGTAACGGTGGAGGTGCGAAGTGTACCGCTATCTGCCACCTGTTGCAGCGCAGCACGTTCAGTCGGACTAAGGGCCAGCAGCGTGGTGAGCACTGGAACAAGAGCATTTCGCTCAGATGCGCTGTTGACGCCACCACCACCAAGAGACGGGTCAATGGAGAGGAAGCGAAGCAACACGTTCTTTAGGTATTCGGCACGTGTTACACCAATTGGTACAGCGTTTTGATCATCCGAAGCATGATCGCTGGCAGTGTTTTGGTCGCTCAAATGTCGCTCGCGCTCTGCATTGCGGTCTTGACGACGAATTTCCGCTTTTAAAATCTAGGGATGAAAGAAATGCCCGTAGTCTGAAAGACGTGGAGGACAAAAATCTGCTGAAGTTGACTGAGCATACGGCAGTCCACTAGAGCGAGTACATTCACTTGTGCTATGCTTCAATTCACCAGTGTCACGCCATCTACACCGCCAAGGAGTAATGAAATCTTCTGAATTGCTCTACATCCTAATAAAGTGGTTTTCTAGAGCACATTTAAGTTGCCTCAAAACCAGAAAAAAACCAGAAAGATGCTGATAGAAGAGTGTAAAAAACGTGATTTTAATAGGCAAATCAAATAATAACAAGAACAAGAAATTCGCAAGATGATGCAACTCGAATCAGAGTGAATGCTCGGGAAGCAGATATGACAAGTTCAAAGTTGAGTTGGGGGCACGTCTGACGTCTGCTACAGTTCTGGCATTGCTGATAAATTCGGGGTGAAGCAGATAGGATGGTAAAAATTGAAGAAATGCCTCGATGACCAAAACATAACCCTATGGATGACAATGATTCTGCTCCATTAAAAAACAAGTGAAGGGATTGTTCCTAAAACTCCTTTGATATGAACTTCTCACATATATTTTAAATTTAATTTCTTGGTTTCGAATAAGCAGTCATTTCAATGATCCAAGCCCTCATTAGCTACACCAGCTGGAAATGAACTCCTAAAAAGTTGCGATAATAAAGAACTTGCACCAAATTATTAAAGACGACAATTAAGTCAATGATCACAACAGAAAATGAACCAACAATAGTAAATGAAGGATTCCTTTGGATACTGGTACTTCAAGAAAATAACACCCGACTCCTCGAAGGAGCATTCTGTGCAATCTTCCAAGGGTAAAAATGAAGCCTTAAGTCAAACGAAAAAGATAAGTTGGCAATTTGACAAGGAAACAAGTAAAAGAAGGTGGACAGAATGCTACAACAAATGCACAACGTACCGTGGCCTGGGTACTGAGACGTTCAACCGTTGCCTCACTGTCCACTAGCAGGCTCTTCGTGTATTCCAGATTGCGCCGTTCATTGAGCAATTGCGATCGAAGGCTCTGAATTGTCTTTCGCATCTCAGAAGTCTGCCTTTCTACCTCCTGAATATCTGCCATGTCCGTCTCCTCGTCTTCAAAAAGAGCCTCTTCTAGAGGCCGAATTCGGTGCTGTGGCGAAAGGAGACGAGAGAGATTGTGGAAGCAATATAATTATTGTGATATTTCATAAGTTTTCCAATATTCCGGGATGTCAGTAATGTTTATGAGGAAGCATAGCCCCTAGGTTTCAGACAAAGACTTAACCTTTGCAAAAACTCAATTCTGTAGAATAACACTCAACAACAAACGCCATAGAATTATTGGACTCTATTCTGTTATTTTCAATTCTGACACGTTAACGGAAGGATACAAAGGCTGGTGAAACTTGAATTAGTTCGTCTAAAGATGCCTATCCCACCAGCTTGGAGACATTGGCAAATCAGATTGCATTCATCCCATGGGTTACACCTTCTACATAGTCATTTCTGCATTTCTCTGGTTGTCTTATGACAAATAATAAGGATAAGATTTTGTGTTTAAGTTGATGAAGAAGTTTTCGCATTCGTCGAACAAGAATTTGGACTAACGGTGCGAAGCAAAATCATCTATCGTTTCAACTCCATTACAGTTGCCTTCTCTGATGTAAATTCAGTTTCTCATGTTCTCCTCACTAAAGCCGTTCACCATTGACCTACACTCACGACTGAGTACCAGCATCATAAGATTGTGAGAGGAGCGTAAAGTGGTGCAGGTACCCGTTCGTCCAAAGCAGGTCAAGAGACGAAGGATGGAGAAGAGACATTTAAATTAAAGACTACTTTCAATAAGGTCACAGCCTATACAGTCTTAACACGCTCCACTCCCTTCCGTCAGAAATTGAGGAAAAATAAAGGAGTAAATTAGATTAAACGTACTGCTCTAGGTAAAGTGTTATTATCGCTGCCAGTATCGGTCCCAGTGAGGTTACTAAAACGTTGACCACAGCGAGAACAGAGGAGCTCCCGCGACGCCTGAGAATCCAACGGTTGGGCGGCGAGTTGAGTCATCTTCCTCTGTTCCAACAGTTCCAGGCGTTGCGACTCTACTTTCGCCTCCGCGGCATCCAGCTGGATCTGCAGCTCCGTAATTTTAGCGCTACATTAAGGAAATAGGTAGAAAGAGTGATAAAAACGAATGTCTACAAAAGATAGACTTTATAAGCATCTAGCCGCGGTAATTTCTGGACACTCCAAAGTAAAAGTGGATGTGGATTATGATTTCGCGACAAGACAGGGAAGAATACAAACCACAAAAGGATACTTTACATTTTTCGACGGAACTTCCTTATAACTCTTCGATCTAGACAGAGAAGAATAGGAAGAAGCAATCCGGCTTGTCGAAAGGATGACCCTCAACGAAATAAAATTGAGACATCTTTGAGGTGAAAAACAGCCGAGAATGGTTTGAGGAAAAATAAAAAACATTTGATCGGAGAAGATAAATTTATTGGAAACGTGACAATGACTTATTCTGCATAGTTTTAGGTTTACTTTTGCCACTAGAAAACTTTTCATTGTACTCCCGTTTGAACGCTTGGTGAAGAAAAATGCAGTCATCAATAGTGCTGGAGGATACGGACGACAAGGAAATGCCCCCCTTATATAATTGTTAATTCGCCAGATTCAGATCCTTCGGAGTCGTTTCAACGTATGCGAATCTCAGACAACACTGCTGTTTGGCCTTCAACGATTCACTAAACAATCGCATCACAGAGGCTTGAAAATGCCTTTGGAGCATGCAGCGGGTTACAAGTTAATCGTTCGCCTAACCAAAGTCACAATGAAACACATAATTGGACGACTTCTATAAGCTGGAAGAAAACGCCGTCTTGATAAAGAGTACCCACACGCGTGGTAGTCTTCACTAGGAACGATTCTTCCAAGCTGAAGTAGGTGCAAACCACTTTACACAGCACCTCCTCCATGAGTAGATGCTGTTAGCAATTGCCTCAACCTTTTCGTTAAAAAATGGTATGAGATCCTGCTACTCTGAAGATGAAAAACTGCCCTTTCCAAATTTGACTACTCGTCCAAAACATTCGACTATCTCATCCTATTATTCCGCCTCCCTAAATGCTGAGCAAAAAATCCGGCAAGAAGCCTCCGCAGCAGAACAATACCCATTCACATCCTTCGGACTCATGTGACGCGCAACTGATTGCAAGAAATGACAATGTAATAAAGCACATCTATGCTTTATAGCATACACAAGGCATAGCCTGTGTTTAAGAAGTTATCTTGGAGGGACCATGCAAAAAATTAAGCAAAAGTTTAGTCACCTTGTTCCTGATGTTACCGACCAATAAATAGTACAATCGACAGGGGCGAAGGAAATAACACCTTCAAGTCAAAGTACAGAAGAGTGAACTTTTGAGGCGATACTGATATTCCCTAATGCATTATTAACGACATGGAAGTGCCTTCCATCAGGATGCCGTATAATAATGTTTGAGTGGGACCAGGTGGAAAGCCTTCTAACTTCAGAAAAATCTCTCAAAAACCGGACCAAATGGGGTCGAGGCCATAAATATGCTCTTGAAGGCAGATTGTAGCCAAAACGTCAACCTTGAGGCGATTACTCCTTGAATAATGTAATGAGCGATTAAGTTATACCCGGAGGACTATCCCATAAATCTCTCTTAATTACTTCGAGTTAGGCGGCATGGCCCATTAAAGCCACAAGCAAGATTAACCAGATTTAACACAGTTACAGTGGCGTTGGAATTAGCTAATCATGTGACTCTAGCAGAAAGGCAATCAAGAGAAAGACGTGAGGCGTGGGTGAGACTGCGATATTTGTCTCAATAAAGAATTTTCGAGCTACAATCTTATCATCAAGGCCTTATTAGCTGTGGTAACGATAGACTCACTCAATCAAATCTTTCAAATTCTTAAAAGTTCATGCTTTATAAATGCACATCTAATAGAATCATCTCCTAAATCCCACAATGCAATGGCTACGATTTCGGCCACGGCGCTCCTGTTTGGGTTTTCACTAAAAGCCTTGGACAAGCCGAAAAGGCTAGCACCTAAGTGGTAGGTAAGATAGCCTGGTCCCCAAAAAAGGAATAACAGAAAAGGTTACCTTAGTGAGCATAATACATTGTTTTGTCAAAGATCTGATTACGCTGACATCCGATGAAACGGCCTCCAAACCCCACCTGTTCCCATGTCAGGAAAGTGTCATTAGTATTCTATTACAATTTCTCCCCAATAACACCACAACCGCCATGAAAACTTCGCAGCTCCTCTCCGTATTAGCAAGCAGAATTGTCACCCCTGCAGTCTTGGGTTGGTAAATTGCTCTCCGGACTTAGGACAACATACTCTCGAGCAAAATTGAGTGAATTTTTGAGGCGTAGTGACAAATAGGACAAAGGAACATGTCTCGAAGTAGTTGTGCGAACTCATCTCCAATGGGGGAAACACACAAACATTAAACAATTTGGGGTGAAATCGCAAAGTAAAAGCCAAAAGGCATAAACCGTACATGCAGAAAATCGAATGAATATGGAATCATTGCGACCCAGTTTGAACAGTTGGTAAAAAGTAGGTTTACAGGAAAGCGGATGCTCGGCCCATGCTTACAACTAACCTTCCACTTTCCCAGCTATTAAGGCAATACTACACTAAATCAAAAAGTTTGATGAAAAATCCAACAATATATCGAAGCCTAAAAAAACAGTTTACGATTCTCGCACATAGCAAAAGAACCACTATAGAGTGTCAGAAGGAGACGTACCTAAAAGCAGTGTTAAACTCCTCAGCTTGAGCGGAGAGAGCTCGAATGCCTTCCTGTCGTGCCTCATCCAATGCTGTCGTCAGTTCGGCCACTCGAGCGGCTGCTTCGCTGCGATGCCGAGCATTCGACTCCTCTCGCTCCTTACGCCATTGTGCGTGTTCTGACTCCAAGTTGTGGATCATGCAACTGCATCTATAAAGAGGTGAACCGCCAATAAATGTAGACTAAATAACAAGCAGAGATATTGTCCACTAAAACTTCATGAGTCACATCGTTTTTTTCAGTGTGTTCCAGAGTCGTGAATCTACACATACACCTACGACGTTTATGCAACATCGGCTCGGGACACTTTTGTAAGTCCAAGAGTTATTCCTTATTAGAGGGAGAGGGAGTGTAATTAGCATGAGCTATCGACAACAAAATAATTCAACAATAATGGTGACAGTAAGGATAACCGCCACGGAGGGACATTCTGCAAGTTACCAGACTAAATATGTCAAAGAGACAAATTTCATGATAATAACAAATGAACACTATCTGAATGTACTCTGTCACAACCCGTGGATGGAGTCAATAATGGGTGTACTCCTAAGTTACAGAGTAAGTTGGAACATAATCACCAAATTTCCTAAATTTGGCATATTCAACTGTAACCTCTTCACTGCAATTACATTCGTAGTTAGAAGAGGGATCTGCGGAGTTTGAGCTCAACAAACTGTTTTGAATAGTTTCTTCAAGAATCCCGGAAAACTATCTCCATAGCTAAAGCACTGCTTTCCACTCATTGTTCCAGACTTTACCTCCTCCGCCACTTTACCACTGCGAGCCCATGTATGCAATACTCAATCGACCTCATGTGTATGGTGCAATAGGGAGTGCGAAAGAGAAGGATACAGATTCACCAATTCCATACATTGTAAACCAAAGATGAGCAAGAAATACCGCCCTTAAAAGGTAATAAAACACAGGAGTTCCAGGATGACAAAGGAAAGCAAATTACCTCATTCTCCAAAACTTTGATAATCCCAACCAAGAACGTGTTCTAGGAGGCTTTCTGTGGCACTGCACCCACAGCATACTGTCTTAGCCGAAAATCACTCTTTGCGTGGTTAAGGAGTTATGTAATCAGTGGGAGTTGCGATGCCCTCCATATTAGTAACAGCCTCAAGTTCCATTCAGGTTTACAAGTAAGGAGTGAGGTCCACACCTGCATTACCTAGCCACATGGAAATTTGAACACTAGAAAGTCGCACATAATTTAGCTCTTCCAGAGACAGGATTCGCCATAACGACGACCCCATGGTGTAAAAAATGTGTTGCATCACATCTTGACTCAACCTCCACCAGCAGCAGCAGTAATTGGGGTTAGCCATCGACGACAGAGACTGCGATCCAGATGTTTTTCAAATAAAGAATCTCACCATAGTATTGTTTCCCTCCGAGAGAGACGTGTCCGTGAATTCGAAACTACTCTTCACAATGATGAATAACCATTTTGAAGGATGCTTGATCATGTTGAATAGGAAGAGTGATGATGAGGTTCAAGAGGTTAACACCTCCACCAAGACGGAAGCCAAAAAGGGAATGAATACCACGCACACAGATTGACAACAAGTGTCCAACAATTGGCTTTGAGGACTACCTCTTTGCAATTCACTTCTTCATTTCACATGATAGAAGCATTTTCTTCGGAAAGACCTGTTTGTGATAAAGCATATAGCTTCTATTGCATTGCAACCTTTGACAAGCGAATAAACGTAGCGTTAGACGGTTATCACCCCCTCCTTTCTACAAAAGAAAGCCAATTTCCCGCATGCACAACGGGATGCAGATGAGATTTTTAATAGAAGACGAAACAGCTAGGCCTCGGACTCCTTTACTCAATGCACGCAAAAAAGCCTCGATAACATAAAACCTTTGTGGATAGACCTAGGACTCGTAAAGTTGCAAAAAGGGATGTCTATCGTAGCTCTTACAATTACAATGATGACCATCGCTGTTTCGTGGACTTGGAATGATTGTTTGACAAACTATGAATAGCCATAAAAATAAGGACAATTGAAAAGGATGACAGGTTGGGATGACCAAGGTTGCAAAGAGTAGAAGGTTGTCAACGGCTTTCTATGAACGTTTTGTTTTCAGCACTTGTTTGGTAAACTCATGGAGTAAGTATAGCCGACCAATGCTTAAAATTTGACCTCAACGGGTTTATGCCGAGTAAAAATGTTACTAAAAGGAATGTAAGGAAATAACCGCTTAAATCTACTCAGGACACTGAATTAACAAATTGCTGTTCATTTTCATTTTCTTCTCAAGCAGTCAAAATCCGGACGGTCACCGTGCGAATGCATTTTAGTAAATGATAAGAGGTCTTTATGGACTTAGGAGCAAACTCAGACATGGTGGGAGAGGCAGTGCAGCTACCATGGTGAGTGCAAGTGATGACGCTCAACATAACGCAAGGTTTGTACTTAAATAAGTAGGTTGGTAAATATTACAGTGGTTTCGGTCCTCCATATTTCGTGGCCAGCACTGCTGACACTGAACTCAAGTGCAAAGATGCAGGACAGATCTGAATAACCCCACCGGATCAGGGATGAAATAACTAAATCGTGAGCTTTTTGTGGTGACCAAGAGTGAAACTAGATCCGATTTATATTAGCGCCTATAATGGAGAGAATCAAAAGCACATCACAAAATAGTTTGAATAATCCCATTGGTAACCAGGCGACCGCAGTAGATTGAAACGAAGGAATAAAATTGGTAGCGTGTACATATCGAAACTTAAATCGTGTAACTTAATTGTATTTATTATCGAAGTAACCTGAAGGGGCTATGATAGGTGCAACAAATAATAAATTGATACAACAACATCAAGGGTTAGACCAGTTGCTTTCGACCAATTCTGCGCCCTACAAGAAACCTAGGAACGTAAGGAGGACTGGACTCACTTTTCCTTCTCCTCTGCTAGCGCGAAGTTGGCCGCTTCGAGATCAATTGATGCAGAGTTGAGCCTAGCCGTTGTTTGCCCCAATGAAGCTTCCAATTCTCGTACCCTTTCCTTAAGTCGCGCAACTTCGGCCTGCGCCAGGCTGGAGCACTCATAGCGCCACGACAGTGGGGTACCGAAACTACCACTCCCGATTCCTTCAGTTCCAGTACTGGTGCTACTATCGCTACCACTGTTACCATTCTGTGGGTGATCCTTTCCATTACGCAACGCAAGGAGGGCCTAAAGAGAATGAATTTGTAGTTGGGAGTGCCACCAGGCGATTTCTCAAATAACTAACCACAACCGAGCTCGTCTATGTTGCGGGACAAGTGTACTGTAATGGCGAATACCGAGCATGACTCCATAAAATGGGAGTTTCTTCCAGCGATTGATTAGCACCATTCCATTTATGCATAAAACTGATAAAAGAGAGGAACTTCCGTAGAGTGTTTCAGGGACCAAACGGGATGTCGCGAACTGAAAAAAAGATCGTACCTAAAATTACCTAATAAGAATTCGGCAGATATAATGGCATTCTTGCGGATAGATACAGATTTATGGATGGACGATTATGCATGGTCTTTCCAATGACAACCAAGAAAAAAATGAAATTTAGGCAAATAAGAACTCAGGTAGATCCTCCTCCATACAAACACAACTCGTCACTTACCACAACGCCTTGTGGAACGAAAATTTACGTGTAAGTTTTTTTTACAAAAATGACAGCAATTTTTGACAACACTTTACAAGCAACTTGTACCTTTATCAAATCGCTAGTGTGTACTAGTAATTTTTAAGGATTTGCAGGAGCAACACCACCACTACCAATTCTTTGACGCGCTGGTACCAAACGCGCAATCCGAACCAGTCTTTTTCGCTGAGAAATACAACACAAAGGTACCATTGTAAGACACAATATATGAAAAAACTACAGCTAAGAATCACCTTAACTTTGTAGGAATCATATTGCTTCTGCAATAAAGCGACCTTCCCCACCAATCTCTCCCGCTCCTCCATCACTTCCGTCAGCTTCGCCTGTACCGCTTCTCCATTACGCTGCGACTCGTCCAACGCCAATGTCAGATCCGTTACCTTCGCCTCCATTTCTGCCACCCGCACCGCACGTTTCTCCGTCTCTGAGGCATCTCTTCGTACACGCACTAGCAATCGTTTCACTAAGTTCAGCTTCTCCAGCAGTCCAGATGTCTCCGCTGCTGACTCTGCAGCTTTCTTCTCGGCTTCAGTCGTGCGCGCAATTGCTTCATTCAGCGCAATCGTCTTGGCGGCCAAATCGGACTGAAGGGAGGCGATAGCCTGTGTTTGCTCAACCAATTCTAGCTGCGTTGCTTGCGAGCAATTCAGGCGATTGGAAAGATTAGTAATTAGAGAAACATCTTCGTCACTGAGCTCACCAAGACACTTGGAAGAAGTAGTTGATGCGAAAATTAGCTGTCGCAGAGCCTCCCGCATCGCATTAAATCTAATGCATTCGTCAGAGAGACGGTCATAAGATTCCCTCAATTGGTCAACCTCAGATTCCTTATCACGTACTAGACGGTCGTAATCTTCAAAGTGCTGACGCTGTATTCCGTCAAAGCTTTTAAGTCGAGTTTTTTCAATGGAGTGGACGCAGATAGAGATGGCGGCGAATTGATGATTCAAGGAGACAAGTTGGTGCATTTCCCTACGGATGTCAGTTACGTCACTTTGTAAATTGGTGAATTTGCAATAAAGCTGACGCATCAATTTGCGGCGCATCAGTTCAACGCCCTTTGCCTGGTTTTTAAGGTTCAAAATGCCTTCTGTGAGGGAGCACTTCACACCTGAAAGCGAGTCTTTAAGTTGCCAAATGTCAGTAAGGAGAGCTTCCAAAGTAGTTGAGTTGAGAGGGCTGATGCATTCGCTGTATGGTGGCGGTGGTGATGACTGATGAGTAATTTTAGACAGGAGCTTTTCCTGGAGGAGCTTAACATCGTGAATTTGAACCTGAAGCGAGGTCAACCACTGACATACTGCTGTCTTGGCTTCAGACAAATCGTTCCGCAGAAAAGAGACCACAGAAAGGGCTGATTCGATTTTGGAGCTGTTCAAAGTCGCATTTACTGCAGAAGAGTGATGAACCCGCACAGGCACTGATTCACCACCAAAAGTGGATGTGATCTGATTCCTTAGCAAGGAAGTGCTTTCAACAAATGATGACATTTGTAGGACAATAGCATCTTTCATAAAACCTAATTCACCTTTCAGAACCGAGAATTCCCTATGAAGTTGATCCGCCTTTATAAACCGTAATGGGCAAGATCTAAAGTTATTAATGGTTGACAGAAGTAGCTGGGATGATGAATTGAAAGTCTGTGTGAATTCCTTAAGTAATAACTTTACTTCATCGCGGGAGTGTGAAATGTTCGTTAGATGGGACTTAATCTTGTCTTTGTGGACGCGCAATGATAGCCGCAATTGATCTGGCGAACAATGCCTGAGGTATGTGGAAAATTGCTCTAATAGAATTTGTAGCTCTTCCGTACTGCTGACAACTAGGCGATCAGCTCCATTGATGCCCTGCAATCGACCCACCTCACGTTGAATACTTTGAAGTACAGTAAGCATAGGTGAACTGGAGTTTTCTTTACCTTTATCTTCCACAAGATTCTTGAGGGTGGCGAGAATAAACGAATGTTGGTTGTGGGGGTGATTATGAGAATCGGCGGGAGAAGGCGAAAACTTGGAGGCAATGGCGTACAGCTCCGTGGTTCGAGCATTGGCGGTAACCAGATCGCTCATGAGCCGCGAAACCTCAGACTTAAAAGTATCTCTCTCCTGTTTTATCACAGTAATGGATCTCTGCAACTCGTTAACCATTTTGGATAGAGTTTCCACCTCTATCTTACTTTTCTCAAGGTTGGCTTGTTGACCACCACTCATCACTTCGACAACATTAGTTTTTACACCTGCCTGTTCTTTTGTTATATGAGTAGTGGTCTTCAAGCAAGACACTTCCTTCTCCAGAGAGGCTATTGTCTTGTTTTTGCGAATCAGAAGTAGTTTTAATTTGCTTATGGTGGCATCTTGTTTGCCGCAGATATGGCGCAGTTCTTCCAGATTATCCACGTTAGAGTAGCATTCGTCAGATGATACTGCAGACATGCTATTGAGTATAAAAGCATATTTTAAAAAAGACATCTCTTTAATCTCGTGACTACGAAAGAAGCTGGTAGAAAATGGTTCCACTGAGGATATGCATTGGAATGCACAAAAATGGAGGGACGAATGTACGTTGCGGGACGGATAAGATTGCTAAACATTTTGATACTATGATAAGTTTAGTAGGAACAAGAAAACAGATAATAATGATGATCGAAACATCAAAGTCTAGAACAACATGATATGCTGCTGTAGAAGAGGGAACATACAAACTGGAGTTCACTTTACGAAGTGAAAATGCAACAGAGAAGTATGTAAAACATCTGAAGAGCATGTAAAAAAACGTACTAAATGTAAAATGTGATAGCTCAATCAATGCTTTAAATAGAAAATTGCCTGAAGGAGAATTCTAGACCCAAAACGGATCAAAGTGGCATTCTAAGCACTTCGACATTACTAATAACGCAACTCAAAAGGAAAGGAGACCTCACGTGATTCGAAATGGACATTTGAGTTACGTGGACACTAGCGGACCAATAACAAATATCGCCTACTTTAATAAAGTAGGCTAACTAACACATGCATTTACAGCCAATCCCGTACAAATGTAATCAACGCGATCAAATGCTCACAACGGGCAAATCTATCTAAATATTGGGAAAGAAAACTGCAAAATAGATTAACCATATTATTGTAATCACTCACAAGCCATATTGTGCAGTGTTTTCAGTTGCGAAATTGTGTAGCATATTTGCCAATGTCAGTGGCCCAGAGCTATGTCTAACTCAAAGCTAGAATTAAGAGAACACATATGTGGAGCAGGCGACTTCCAACCGGATAAAGTAATACATTATGCTGGACAGGACACACATATTCTGAGGAAACCCAGAAGGGATATGGTACATGCATACATATCATACCGTATCAAAATCACCTCCCGTTTTACAGATGTTCAAATAAACAAAGTATTGCAACACATGTTGTGAAGTGTTTCATAATTGGCAGTATGACGATCTTAAACGACCTCTTTGGCTAGCAATCTGTAATAGATACTAGATCGTTAATATGGACTTTACACAAGAGAGGCGGGAACCGAAATTGAACGCGAACCACTCTCTCTCCGAGGTGGGGTACCTCTTTGCGACTTGTTCTTCGCTGGTCGTTTGTTAAAAGTGACATAGTGTCTAAGGGAATTTATTGTTTAACAGACACCGCTGTCTTACTGGTTCCTACGTCTGTGTTGCTAAACTTTTCTAAGTAATTTACTGATTTCCGGAAAAGTACAGTACGAATAAGCCGACGAGCAATGATTCGATCGGAAGATGCACTAGTTTAGTACCTACAAATCACACAGGATCTGGCGATGTATGTCGCTTGTTCTTGGTGCTGATGCTCTGAGTTTGAGCATCTATGAACCTGATTATCCGTTGGACCCCAAAATCGGGTTTTCTTGGCGAGAAACTCGAAAGCTCTCTTTTCACAACAAGTGTATTATCCAGACAACAGACAAGACTGCAAAAAAGATCTACTTTTTATTTAGGAAATCCAAGATTAGTAGGCGTATTTTTGCGTTGTGCACTGGCAATCATGAGCTATACATGCGCGTAGAAGGAAGTCTGACTCTATCGAAGTGCAACAGATGAAGACATAGGCGAAAAAGGGGCCTGAATTAAAGGAGGCGCATTTACCTTAGAGACGGAGAATCCCTGAATCCTTCAAAACGAAGGGATTTGGGCCGACGTCTGCATTCGGCTTCACCTTATTTCCGTGCACCACCGACAAGCTACCAACAACTGAAGCGACACCACCGTGAACCATCTGGAAAGGTTTCGTGTCGTAATCCCCATACAAAATCTGTGGTTGGTTGTCGGAAATGACATTACGATTCTTTTTACATACGGAACAGTGGCTCATCCTGTTTTCTCTGTAGCATACATGTTTAGACCAGAGTTCAACCGTCTAGTCCTGGGAGCAAGTTATGGTCAATAGGTGTATGCGGCCCCCAATCTGGTTGTCAGACCGAACGCAACTTCGGATCCAGTTAAATCTGCCAAGGAGACCAAGTGCGGCTCTTCAGCTTCGTGGTGGCTGTTGAATGGCGCGTTTGGCTCGTTGGTGCTTTCTTGTGGTACCGCATGTTGTGATGGCTGGGGTGGGAGGTGTGCCAAGGGGACCGCCGAGGACGTCGCTCAAAGGAAGAGGGGGCAGTGTAGTGATTTGTTTATGTGGCTGTAATGCTTGGTTTATGCGACTATCTGACGTTTGGCGGTCACTTGAGGACTTGTCTGGGCCCTGTACACGTGGGCTGGCCTTCGGGTTACGCTTAGGCCCCATTTCTCCTATTGCTTTCGGAATACATGTATTCAATCCCACTTATGCCTTCTATCACCCCATTGGAAGCCTCGGGAAGCTACAGTGGCTACCTGACGTTCGGCGGTCACTAGGACTTATCTGGCCTTTGTACACGTGGTCTGACCTCCGGGCCATGCCCAGGCCCATTTACACTGTCGTCTTCGAAATACATGTATCCAGCTGCACTTAATGATTTCTTATACCGACTAGGAAGTCTCAAGATGCTACAATAATACCTCGCAAAATTTTTTGCAGTCCCTTTTGTCGCGTTTTGTAGGTGCTCGTTAATCCTAATAATTCTACAAGTCTAGACAAGCAGGAATTTGTAGCATCCCGGGGCTTCGCATAGGATGAAAAAAGGCAGTGAGTGAATCTGGATGCATGTATTTAAAAGAGGACAAAGCTTATGGGCCCAAGCGTGGCCCTAACATCTGCCCACGAGCACAAAGACCGGACACCTCTTATGGTGACCGCCGAACATCAGGTAGTCACATAAACAAAGCATTAAAGCATTTAATTTGAGCTTGTAATTTCTGCGAGAATAGAAGGCGCAACATAGCTGTATTGTACCGAGACTTCCCATAGGGTCGAAGAAAGCAGTAATTGAGGCTGGATACATGTATTCCGAAGACGACAGGGCAAATGGGCTTGGGCATATTCCGAAGGTCGGCCCACGTATAAAAGGCCCAGATAAATCCTATAGTGACAACCGAACGTCAGGTAATCACATAAACAGAGCACTTCGATAGCCTCACAAGGAACAGGAATTTGTGGGATTATTATTTCTTCATAACACACAAAACTATAATTAATGCGGAAGGCGAAAAATAGCATTGCCCAGCTCTGAAATGATCATGCTGAAATTTGCCTTGTTTGATTTTCAAACCTGTCCCATTTATGAGAGAAATATCGAGAGGCATGACAACTAAGGTTTGTTATTCTTACCCTCATTGGAGATCTTCTGACCAATAGTTGGAGGGTTTTTGTAGAAGGACGCAGGGAGTTTTCTGTCACATTTCATGCATTTCGATAGCTTTTAGCATGTGTAATCCGTATTTTTAATTCGAATTAATCTATCAAGGCTTTCGCATCTGTTGGATATTTTTTAAAAGCTCACTCAGGCTTGGCTGATGCTTATCTCCATTGTTGAGATATCGAAGCATTTTTTTTCTAACAACACCGACGATGTGGTAGAAATTAAGTGTCCTAAAACTGAGGACTATTTTAGCCTTTTAACTACTGGAAGAGTTTGGCTGCTCATACCTTGGTTTTCACTGAGCACTGCAGTAAGCGCTGTGCACACCGTAAACTCTTGCCCCAGATTCCTGGACTTTTGGGTCTCTTCTCTGAGAATTGAACATTTTATGAAGTTTTTGAGTTAGCTCCACTTTCACTGGCCTTTAATTTGCAACAACCGTGAAAGTCCACGGGTCATTTCACGATATGTCTAATTGCATCAATTTTGTTCACTCTAGATTCTATATTTCTTGATTTTTGACTGGACTAATTATCTGACTCCTCATTGACCTCTCTACGACTCTTCTCTCCCACTACTACTATGTCAAAGATCGAAGACTTTCCCATTCCCAAAAATGATGTCATTTTGCGCGTCTGCAAAGGACTAACCGTGCCGTACGCCCCCGTGTGGATAATGCGCCAAGCGGGTCGCTACCTTCCTGAATTCCAAGCTGTCAGGAAAGAGCATGACTTCTTTGAAATATGTCGCACCCCTGATCTGGTCTGCGAAGTGACTCTCCAACCTATTCGCCGTTTTAATCTTGACGCGGCTATTATATTTTCGGATATTTTGGTCATTCCACAGGTCTGCCTCAGCTGACTTGCTTTTTGAAAGTGCTACTTATTTATGTTAAATAGTTAAACTAACTTTGCAGTATCGATTAGTCAGGCTCTTGGCATGGAAGTGGTTATGGACCCAGGCGTTGGACCGCAGCTTCCCTCCTGCTTGAACACTCCAAAGGATTTGGCACGTCTAGACTGGTCAGCGGATGTAAAGTCCCATTTGGATTACTTCTACGAGGCAGTGAGGCTAACGCGACATAGGCTGGAAGGTTGTGTGCCGCTTATTGGTTTTGCAGGGGGACCCTGGACCATTATGACCTACATGATTGAGGGTGGGGGTTCTAAGACCTTTCTTAAATCAAAAAGATGGCTCTATGCGTACCCCAAACCCTCTCATCGTCTTCTTGGACTGCTGACCAGAACTATTACTGATCATCTAGTTCACCAGGTCCTAGCTGGTGCGCAGCTTTTGCAGGCAAGTTCTGTTTCGCTGGCTTGGAGTCTAAGTAGATATTACAGGCAAGGCAAGTGTGTTTAAATCTCTTGTGGAACACAAGAGTCAATTGCATTATTTGTTGAAAGTGCGATTGCTTTGGGGAAATTGTTTACTTAATCCTGACCATGCGTAAGCTGCCACGTTTTGGCACTGCAATTCTGCCCACTTTTTAGCTCAAATCATCTTCATTTGTATTCATCAAGGTCTTGTGGTAGAATGTGCTTTTGTGACTATCTTTTGCCATGGTAAAGCTGTAATGTAAACGATCCCACAGTCACTATTCAAGTTACAAAGCATAAGGTGCGCAATTTCGAAAATCCTTTTTTGATCATTGTTGAAATTCTGTCCGAACCCAAGCTCTTCTTTGGAATCCAGCATTAGGTTTCTGCAGCCGTAAGAATAGCTTCATTCTACAGCTTCTATCTGCAGCCATCATTGTCGTCCAATAAAAGCATCATTTTTATAAATACGCCCATGCCGAATTGTGACACCTATCAAAGACCAAGTGAAAACCGTTGGATTTTGCTTGAATGGTCTTAGTCGCATGTTATTAAAAGTATCAAGTTTCTTGTCAAATACTCGAGTGAGTGGTTGAAATCCATTGCATTCACTTTATAGAGTGTCGGAGAGCTTACCTATGAATGAACTTACCCGAGGTTAGTTTCACGCTTTCTAGCAACAGTGCTATTCCTTAAGGCACTATTACTATTATTGCTATTATCTCGTAGCTAGGACTTCATTGTTTCGGCTTCGTTTAATAGTGAAATCTCTCCTTTTCTTCCCAACACCCTCCCATTTCTTTCATCTGTGGTTTTAGTCATGGATGTTATTTTCTTCCATTTTGGTAAGCGGTCCGTGTCTGATGTTTATCAAATTGTTTGCTTCACTGCTCTCGTTGAATTAAATAGTTGAATCGTAATTATTACCGTTCTCGAATAAGAATTTCTTGGCTATCGCGGCCTTATTTCGGAATTTGTCTTGAGGACTTCGACTTTGGGCTAAAAATAATTTCAAAGCTGCAGTTTTTCAGAACGGTAGTCTTCGTATCTTGTTGACTCGCTGGAAGTTCCATTTTTCTGTTTTCGTCTTTACCATCCTCAACTTTGATATTGCATGCTTTCTTATGTTTTGCCTTCCCCATTATTTGTGGCGAGGTTTTTAAAACAACTTCTGTTAAGTTTAAATGCGCATGCTTACAGTTTTATGCACTGTAAATACTCCTGTCCATGCTTCCATAATTTTCCACAATGTCTTCCGCTTACTAGCTTTATCTGTAAGCAACAGTATTTTAATAGTGTGTTCTTTTGACATTCACATTTGAGGGATACTTGACTAACGTTTGCCACGTTTTCTGATGCATTTGTTCTGTTTCGATATGTAGATGCTCCCTACACTCTTACATTATACCACCTACTGTATTGACATACCAATCCTGTTTTTCGTCACGGATCCACTGGGGTATGATTCCTGCCACCTTTGGAAGGCCGAATTTGTGAACACTCATAGAGTTAACAATACCTCCCAGTTTTCTCCGTATCTGCTTCTTGGTCAGCGTTTAGTGACTTACGTTCATCTAGATTTCTGAGTTTTGCACAAATTTTCCCAAGCTCTCATCGCCATTTTCGCAGGATTAGCCTTAAACCTACTTTTTTACTGGATATGGTTACAAGTTAATGTTTCTAAGCGATTTTCACTAGAATTCTTTTGAACATCTTGTGAACTTTATGACTGAATTGTTATTAAGAAGCCCCATGGCCACGAAATGAAGTTCAATCTTGTAGATTGACTTACTCAAAAAGAAAGAAGTCGCAGTTTTGTTTTCGAATGGGAAATGTTCTCGTTTTTCATCAGCAAGGAGATATTCGTCTGATTTGGGCTACATCTAACTAATGCATAAGGAGACACCTGTTTCTGTAGTGGAGATAGATCGTGTTAGTATGGTGATAGGAGGGAATATGAATCCCAAAACTGTCACCATAACTGCTTTGGTAGGTGTGGTCATTTTTATTTTGTCACTGCCTACATCCGATCTCACTCAGAGGGCTCTTCGCAACCTCTGTCTTCTCTTTAATAATGGTCCTTTTGATGTTTCTACAATTCACTGCACCTCACATGGCACGCCTTTCCATCTGTGAAACCCGCTCAAGATGCAAAGGCTTTCAGGCTTGCTTTATTAATTAAACGCTTGTTCAAATTGTGGACTTATGCGTGTGGTGTGTGAAAAACTCTCAAGACCAATCTTTACACTTCCTTAAATCTTGGCTTGAAATCTCGACAGTTAATGGAGGTTCTTAAATTTTTTCCTATTCACTCTGGTGGCAATGATGCGGATTTACCTCCTCGTTCCAGCCTGTTTACTTAAGACGTATATGATCTGAGGGCGAGAGGAGTTCCTCCACCGTTCACGTTATGTTCCTTGAAAAATGAATCGTCTCTTGTGACTTCTGTTTATGCTGGTACAACAAATGGAAGGTGTGTCCATTCAGCTGGCTGTACAATGTCATCGACCGTATCTGCGGCTAAGCCGGTAGTTTCTTGTTCAAATGATCCTCATTCCCTTGCATGCACTACTAGACTAGTTTTGACACCAAGTCAACCCATTCTTCGTAAAGGATTATAGTAAAAAATTAGCAATACCTAGAGGTTCATGACTTCGGGATCAAAAGTAGCGAAGGCGATAAATCCAATTTCGGCTGAACGGTGGGCGTTTCATTTTTAAGGTCAACTTGCATCGCATTATTGTTGTCATATCAAAAGTTACAAAGAGCATCAAATGGTGGATTTCTTCGTCATTTTTGTGTCAAGAATTGTGTCGAATTTTACTTGCTAGAGCAGCGGATGTCATCAATTCCTCCTCACCTCTATCGCTGTTGTAGCAGCGCAACATTTTTTTTAGTTTTAACTTTTACATCGATGGCATGTTTTTTTGCTTTATTGGTTTGTGAAAGTGAAATCATGTTTGATGTGTTGATATTTTTGGTCCCGCTTCCCTTGTGAGTGCACACAGGGCGTGCACATGTGCGAGTGATCGTCAATGCGATTAAGGGCTGGAAAAGAACGGAATTTTGGTGGATCAGAAATAATGGTAAATTTTTCTTAAATAATGCCGTGATTGATAGAGAGTCACCGTCAGTACTCATCCTAGCTGCATCCTCAAACGAAATTTTTGACTAATAAGACTTTGGTGCGGAGGAAGGAGATGGGTTGTTGGCAGGGCTTGGCTTGGCTCAAAAGATGTACTACCAAATAATGGGGGAGGTTTGCCGGCATTAGAGTACTCAAATTTTTGTTTTCGTCAAGTTGTTCTCTTCTTTTGGTTCTCATTCTCGTTGATCACAGTAAAAGTTTTCCATATTGTTCTTTGCACCAGAACTTCCAGAAGCAATTTGGCTAACGTTACAGATAGGAGTGGGGGATCCATGCATATCTATGTATCAAATGAATATGAATGAGGGTACAGAAAAGCAAGGGAGTGACAATCAAAGGCGCCGCCAACCTATGGTTATATTTTCGCATTGATTGAATGCGGCTGTGCTCAAAGAATTAAAATGAGTACTTTTATGACCGTGTTAATTAAATAAAAGTGGCCCATGGAAAATGAGTCTCTGATATTTTTAACAGATATTTGAGTCGCATGCTGGAGTCCTGTCATCGCACCTCTTCAATGTCTTCGTATTGCCCCATTTGCGACAGATATATGCAGGTGTACGCAGTCGTCTACAGAACTTGCACGGCTTCTCTGCAGATGAATGCCCACCTATTATAATGTTTGCTTTGGGTGGATATTATGCTCTTGAGGAAATTGCTTCTGTGGGCTTCGAGGTAATTGGCTTGGACTGGACCACCGATCCAAAGTGGGCAAGACAGGTCATTGGTCCATCGATTACGCTTCAGGTAAGTTGGGCCACTTTTCCTACGATTTGATTCCATCCATCCTTACAACCGTTTGATGCATACGGTCATTGTAACTTAACCGATAGTCTTGTTTGATTGAATTGATTAATTGTTCTTAGCACTCTTTGTGTTTCTCATTTACCGCGTAAGTTAAAAGACAAAATTGGATACCATCATTCATTCTACTTTAACACATCGGCCTGGGACTGGCTTTGCATTTTTCAGCGACGATGAGCATGACTCTGGTAATAGTAGTTACTTGTAACAACCCTTTTGCAAAGGCAAAACTATTCCCTAAATTTGAGGCTAAGCGCTACCATACTCTGTTCTCTCTTACCATGACGTTGCCTTGTAGCAGTGTATGCTTTACGTTCGTCCTGAGGATCAAGTTTTTCATCTTCTATTAACGCTAATGGTTCCTTTCGTTAGTCTCATTACCAGAAGGAATAAAGATCAACCGTAGAGAAATAAGAAGCATGGAAAGATGATAAAATGAGTTCAATGTTTATGGCTGAATGGTATCCTCATTATAGTCACGGTCCCGCAAATAAAAAAAATCCAGAAACTACGAGACGCTATCACAAAAGGGAATTGCTGTTTATTCAACCTTAGTCCGCAAAAGTCTTTATGATCAACTAACTGATACGTCCATTACAAGAGACATAAATTCATTAAATGAAATATATGTTGCATATGCTAGAGACGATTGAACA